TGAGGCAGGAGACTCACTTGAGCCCAGGAGTTGGAGGTTGCTATGAGCTGTGATGCCATGGCACTCTACCCAGGGGGACAGCTTGAGGCTCTCTCAAAACAAACAAACAAACAAAAAAACTCTTAGGCTTAAGCAATTCTAGTCTCAGCTTCCCAAGTAGCTGAGACTATAGGTGCTGGCCACAATGCCCAGCTATTTTTTTGTTGCAGTTGTCATTGTTTAGCGGGCCGGGGCTGGGTTTGAACCTGCCAGCCTCAATGTATGCGGCTGGAGCTGTATCCACTGTGCTATGGGCGCCGAGCCTAGATTTTTTTAGTAGAGAGATGGGGTCTCCCTGTAGCTCAGGCTAGTCTAGAACTTCTGAACTCACACAATCCACCTGCCTTAGCCTCCCAGAGTGCTATAGGATTACAGGTATGAGCCACTGCGCCTGGCCCTGAATCTAGATTCTTGATGACCTTGTTGAGTTGTTAGATTGGCCAACTCTGAAAGCCACCCTACCCCAGTACCACCAAGCCCCAGCCCACGTCTTATTGGTAACCCATATTGGGCTGGGGTATTCTGTTGCCTGTGGCCATAAATACCCTTAAAAAGAGGTGCTCAGAAGGTTCTACCTAAATGAATGCCATGGGTCAGTGGCCACAAGCTTAGAGCCCTCAAGTGTGCCCTCCTGAACATCTGTCACCCACACCAGTTCCTTACTACCCCACAACAGACATTCAAAGACTGGATGCTTTTTTTTGAAAAAACCACAACTATCACTTTATTCTTAAGTTTGCACTTTACAAAACCACAAGGGAGAAGTCACTGAAGGGGAGAGAGGTATACAGGGAGGGGAGTTTGAGGGATTGGGGGATGGTGAAGAGGGGAAGAAGACCCAGAAATGAAGCCCCCCTCAAATGGGGAACCAAGCATAGATTGGGCCCCAGGCCAGCTCAGCAGGGCTTCCTGTGTCCTGGCTATACAGAGCTGGGCCAAAAGACCTCAGGGGAGGGCCACAGTCCTCTAGAGACTGTCACTATTTGATGGGCTGCCACAGGCCAAAGCTTCCGGTGCCCAAAGAAGGAAGCGAGCCTCCCCCTCCACTCTCCCAGGCCAGAGAAGACAGGGTGAGGGCTATCCATCCAGCAGCTTCAGGATGCTCTCACGCTCCTTCAGAGTCTTCCAGGCCTGGTCCTTTTCCTTCTTGGTGGGAGTACGCTTCTTCTGCCGGGCAGCCATGATCTTGCGAAAGGCATCCATGACCTCATTGTCTGCCATGCGGACGCGCTGCCTCAGCTCCTGTCGGCTTACCTCCTCCTTTGCCAGCCTGTGGGTACAAGGGCTATAGTCAGCCCACCTCCACAGTGTGATCCCTCTTTTTCCAGACTGACCCCACCCACCCAGGCTGGCACTCTTGTGGACTGTTTCATATGATCATGACCAAAAAGCAGTTACATTTATATGGCACTATTTTAAGTTCATTGTTTGTTTTTTTAAGACTAGTCAAGTACAGTAGTGGGAAAGGGGGAAAGAGTAGAACAGTTCAATCTGTAACTGACTGTGAACAATCAAGTGAGATAACTCACTACCTTTGGACCAGCCTTTAAGTTCTTTAAAAATAATAAATCATGGGTGGCGCCTGTGGCTCAGTGAGTAGGGCGCCGGCCCCATGTACCGAGGGTGGCAGGTTCAAATCCGGCCCCCGGCCAAACTGCAACAAAAAAATAGCCTGGCATTGTAGCAGGTGCCTAAAGTCCCAGCTACTCGGGAGGTTGAGGCAAGAGAATCCCCTAAGCCCAAGACCTGGAGGTTGCTGTGAACCGTGACACCATGGCACTCTACTGGGTGATAAAGTGAGACTCTATCTCTAAAAAAGAAAAAAAATAAATAATTCATGGGCAGTGCCTGTGGCTCAGTGAGTAGGGCACCGGCCCCATATACTGAGGGTGGTGGGTTCAAACCTGACCCTGGCCAAACTGCAACCAAAAAATAGTCGGGAGTTGTGGTGGGCGCCTGTAGTCCCAGCTACACAGGAGGCTGAGGCAAGAGAATCACCTAAGCCCAAGAGCTAGAGGTTGCTGTGAGCTGTTGACGCTACAGCACTCTACCGAGGGTGACAAAGTTAAACTCTGTCTCTAAAAAATAAAAAAATAAAAATCTGTCTGAGACATAACCAAGTGGTTTGGGACTGATATTTTTTTCAAGACTCTTCAGGTGATTTAAGAGGCCCACCTAGGTTTGGAAGCCTGTTATAAAGCATCTGGAAGGTGACCAGCTGTGACAAGGCCTCCTTGACCAGCCCCTGCACAATGCATCCTGCTCACACTGACCTCAGGAGATCATGTTTCTTGGTGCGGTTGTGGGCACTCAGGGCCTTTAGCTCGGCCTGCCGTTTACGCAGCTCAGCAAGGACCTCATCCTCTGAATCCTCTGCAGGGCGATCCTCAGACTCCAAAAGGCCCTGGGCAATCAGCTCCTCCTTGATGCGGCTCTCCAGAGACTTAGTATGTGGCACACTGCAGGAAAGGCAGCCCTCTCAGGCAGGCAGGCCAGCTTTGGGGGGGCCACCTCAGACCTTCCCAGGTTTCCCAAGGTTAGTGAACACTAATCTTTCCCTTTGGGCACCCGACCCCATCTATCCAGACAAAAAAGTAACGACAGACAGACATATATGCTCTGGGTTTTTTTTTTGTAGAGACAGTCTCACTTTATCACCCTTGGTAGAGTGCTGTGGCGTCACACAGTGCACAGCAACCTCCAACTCCTGGGCTTAGGCGATGCTCTTGTCTTGTCTTCACAAGTAGCTGGGACTACAGGCACCCACCACAATGCCCGGCTATTTTTTTTGTTGCAGTTTGGCCAGGGCTGGGCCTGAACCCACTGCCCGAGGTATATGGAGCTGGTGCTCTACCCACTGAGCCACAGGCACCACCCCATGCTTTGTTTTGTAAAAACAACCAATTGTCTGTTGTCCAAAAAATACAGAAAAACCCACAATGCTAACAACTCAGAGAGAATCACTATCATTTTGTGAGATGCTACTATAATTTTGTAGTATATTATATATATTTTCCAAATTTTGTTCCAGGTTTTCTCTCCTATGTGTACAAATTTAAATACATTTTAAGTGAAAGTAAGACCATAATGTCTATACTGTGCTACAACATCTGGCATCCTGTTATTTACAACTTTTCATGTCAATCCTATTTCTTGTAAAATGATTAATAATGGCCCAAGTTATTTCTTTTTTTTTTCTTTTTTTGAGACAGAGCCTCAAGCTGTCCCCCTGGGTAGAGTGTCATGGCATCATAGCTCACAGCAACCGCCAACTCCTGGGCTCAAGTGAGTCTCTTGCCTCTGCCTCCCAAGTAGCTGGGACCACAGGCGCCTGCCACAATGTCCAGCTATTTTTTGGTTGCAGCCGTCATTGTTATTTGGCAGGCCCAAGCTGGATGCGAACCCGCCACCTTAGGTGTATGTGGCTGGCGCCTTAACCACTTGAGCCACTGGCACCAATCCGCCCAAGTTATTTCATTACATGGAGTTACCCCAATTTTGCCAACCAGTTTCCTTCAGTTTGACATTTAGGTTATTTACAGTAAGAACAGTACTGTGACAACACCCCTGTACTGAGTCTGTGTATGCAGAAATGCTGGGCAAACAGCACACTTGAGACTTCAACTGTGCTTTAACAAGCTGCCCTCAGCCTCTCTATTACTGCAGACCTTCCCATTTCAGGATGGACTGAAACTGACAGAAGCTGGGGGCCAGACAATTGTGTGCCTAGGACACCACTTACCTGAAGGGCTTGTTCTGATTGCGGGGAGAGGTGCTCGCCCCATCAGCCCCTGATTCCTTCCCAGACATGTCAGGAATGGGAGAGTCTTCCATGGGGGAAATAATATTTTCCTAGAAGGTCAAACAACTACAGTTGTTGCAATATTCCCATTTTCCTGCTCCTCCTTTACCAGCATGACAGTCTTTTTTTTACCCCAGACAGTCTCATTTTGTCATCCTGGGTAGAGCACCATGACATCATAGCTCAGAGCAACCTCAAACTCTTGGGCTCATGTGTCTCTTGACTCAGCCTCCCAATAGCTGGGTCTACAGATGCCCGCCACAACACCTGACATCTTTTCGAGACGAGGTCTCGTTCTGGCTCAGGCTGGTCTCAAACCCTTGAGCTCAGGCAATCCACCTGCCTTGGCCTCCTAAGTGCTAGGATTATAGGTATAAGCCACTGTGCCTTGCTGCCTGGCTAGTTTTCTGTTTTCAGTAGAGACGGGGTCTTGTCCTTGCTCAGGCTGGTCTCAAACTTCTAGGCTCAAGCGATCTGTTGGCCTCAGCCTCCGAGAGTGTTAGGATTACAGGCGTGAAGCACCATGTCCAACCTGTACAGTCTTAACAGACCAGAAATATCCTTTTGTCTTTACTACTCTAGCCCCTCTGGGAAGCCTTCCCAAACTAAACCAAATAACTTTGATCATTCTAGAAATATCTTTTCTTTTTGTACTGATATCAAAAGAAAGGAACACAACAGAATAACAATCACCCTCAACAATGGTGATGAGAACAGCTGAGGTTTGTGAAGCATCTGCAATGCACCAGGCACTGTGCTAAGCAACATGCTGTGGCAGAGGCCGCCACCCGTCCAAACACCACGCTCTCCTTTCTTCCACAGTAGCTAGGTTGTGTCTACCCAGCTATACTCTATTTACCAGGCTCTCTTACAGTCAGTATGGACAAATTCTCTCTAAAGGAAGGTGATCAGAAGGCTAAGAGCCATAGGTAGTCATAGCCCAAAAAGCTTCCTTCACACACTCCTTGCTCTTATTCTGTGGAATTAGAGTAGCAATGCCCAGAATGATTTTGTGCAGAGTGTAAAGCCACCATTGGCTAAGGCCCCTGTCTTATGAGGCAGAAACCTTACCTTACCCCTACTTTAGTCAACCTGGAACACATATATGAAAAGAGAAATAAATTATTATGTCTGAGCCAGACAAGAAAACTGAGATCTATGGTCAGCCAGTAGGTACAAAGACAGGGGTCCTGAAGCAGGGGTTTGAATCCTGCCTCTATTTATTCACTGTGTGACCTCAAGCAAAGACCTCCCTTTTCTGAGCTTCAACATTCTCATCTGTAGCACAGGGCAAACCAGTGTCCCACCCTCCAATGACAGGGTGTGTGCAAAGCCCCCACATAGGGCTCAGCTCTGAGCCAATGCTCAGCAACAATAACCCAAGTAGTGGCTAACTTTGGGGAAGTTAAAGCCTGGGAAGGGCATGAGGGTGGCTTCTAGAATGCGGTCATCTTTCACTTTGTCATCTCCTGGCTAGTAATACAAGCTCACTTGTGAAAAGTTATCAAGTTGTATATTTATGATCTGTATACTTTTCTAAATGTATGATATATTTAGATAAAAAATAAACATAAAACATTAAAACACAAAGTAAATGTGATTCCTGTTTTGGGTTGGGGGACTCACCTCCACAAGGGCCTGCAGGAGGCGCTGTGTCAGAGCACCAAAGGGGCAACCATCTTCTGGCTGCTCATGCTGGGCCTCAGACTTCTTCAGCAGGGCATCCACATCTACAGCAGGCAGAGAAGAGAATAACAGGTGGGCAGAAGTTTTGAGAATTTAAAGACTGGCCTGGGGTAGGCAGGGAGGTGAGGCCCCTACCTTTAGTGTCTAGTTCAGTCAGTGGCCCCATGAGGCCTTTCTTCTTGTCAGCCACAGCCGCTGCCCGGGCCCCATCCTTCTGCTCCTCCAGCAGATCCTCCTGGGCCCAGCGCTGGGAGTAGTGCTTCCCCAGAGGTGGGATCTGTGGAAGAGATGGCACCCGGCTCCCAGGGGGTAAACAATGGCTAGCCATGCCTGGAGTGCAGGGGGACGCTCCTGTGTACCTGGGCATTGCCAATAAGCTTTTCATTCATTCCCTCATTCATTCATTAATCTGTCTCCCCAGTCGCTAGTCCAAGGTCAAAGATGATGCCAGGTACATGTTAAAAGGGATAAAGGAGATAAATTCTCTACAGGCAGACTGGGTGAAGTGGCTCATTCCTGTAATCTTAGCACTCTGGGAGTCTGAGGCAGGAGGATCCCTTGAACTCATAAGTTTGAGGTCAGCTTGGGCAAGAGTGAGACTACATCTCTACTAAAAAAAGAAAAAATTAACCGGGCATTGCAGCAGGCACCTGTAGTCCCAACTACTTGGGAGGCTAAGGCAGGAGAATTGCTTGAGTCCAGGAGTTTGAGGTTGCTGTGAGCTAGGCTGACACCACAGCACTATAGCCTGGGGACAAAGTGAGACTCTGTATCAAGAAAAAAAAATTGGGTGGTGCCTGTGGCTCAGTGAGTTGGGCACCAGTCCCATATACCAAGGGTGGCAGGTTCAAATCTGGCCCCAGCCAAATTGCAACAAAAAAATAGCTAGGTGTTATGGCGGGTGCCTGTAGTCCCAGGTACTTGGGAGGCTGAGGCAAGAGAATCGCCTAAGCCCAAGAGCTGGAGGTTGCTGTGAGTTGTGATGCCAC